AACACAAAATAAATTCATGAGGATCGAGCTTGGAAAACGGTGTCGCCATGGTTTGTTCATAGGTGGAAATAATTTGAATACTACTGTCATTACACAGTGCCGAACAACACAATACAAGAACTCTGATGTCCTTGCTATTGATTGATACAGATGTAACTAACGGGACAATGTGTACGAAAACAACTATATGCTGTCGGTATTCACGATGTGAGTGCATATCCCACGCCCTCAGAGAAGTTAATTTGATCCAGAGATGAATGTGTTTATTGATACCCTTCTTGTCATCTACAATCACTGAGACGCTTTTTAGGCAATATTGGAATGTAATCAACATCCAAATATATGTCCCTCCTTTTTCTATTCACAGAAACAAATTTGCTTTTATGTTTGGTATATCTATGTTAAAAACGTAATGTATCAATATATAATGCATCCATGATCCTTCAACCATTCTTTTAATAGAGAGTTCCACATCAAGTGAATATCACTACTTAATAACGTAACCCTTTTATTCAAATGATGTGCCGTTTCATTCACTTCAGATTTCAAACTTCGATCAAATGTACAAGTGTATACTCACACCTAGTGTGTAAAACTCTTGTGGTTAGTTCATACATTTTTTTCACAGCTCATAAAAATAGTTAGTAGGTCAGTGTATAATTAAATATATGTAACTGCTACTTACCACTCGTAAGATAAATCCTTTTTTTTCAGCCTGTCATTAAAATTTACTATTGTAATCCCGACACCAGTATTTCACCTTATACCACATCTGTCAGTTCCCGTGGATTGTAGCTTTGCACTATCAGCAAAACAGTCTACGAGATAAATAATGTGTTGCACGGCTTTAATGCATATTCAAAACTTCCCCCTTTATTTGTGTCAAATTGACGTGAATAAACACCTCATTTGTGTGGTCCCTCTTAAAAAGGGCTTTGTCCCCCTCTCCTCAATAGAGCAATCGCAAATAATGGTAGTCAGGGTGATTAGATTTGCATAAAAATAAAAATGATGTTCAGGCTTAGTAACTGTTATACCCTTGTTTGTCAGTTTTTCGGCGGCCCGCAGGGCTGCTCGACGAGACATAAAGGTAATTTGATTTGACTAGAAACATTTGGACAATGTTGAGGTTATCAAGTTGGTCACTAATTGTTTGCAGTTGGTCATCAACAAAGTACTTCCAACAACACACTGCACTCAGCAAATATATAACTCTCTCCCTTTTTAAATTTTTCATGTTGAAATAGCCTTTTAAATTTGTTACCAGTGCAAGCCATGTATAAAGCAATTATTAAAGTACACTGGTTGTATCACACAAGTGTCTACGGTTCTGTCAAACTAGGACAAGATATTTTGGAATTTATATTATTGTCACTTGAATAGTGTCTTGTAAAAATAAAACAGTGGATTTGTTGACATTGTCCTGAAATACCTGTATAGAAATACATAACACTTGTCGTGTACTTTTCCTAGTAGGTTGCAAATAACGTTTCAATTTGCAGCCAAGTTCACGAGATGATGCTGTCTTTAGAGTTATTCTAAATGCTGTGTTTACTCTTTTAACATGTATTCACGTAAATAAGGCTTCTCTATATATTGTCAAAATGAGCCAGCAATCAAGTATACAGTACAAGCACTGAATAAATACTAGCAGTCCCAAAAGTAATTGTCTTTTATTTTGACCGAAAATCATAATATCTGGATTTCATTAGGTGTATCAAAATGACTTAATTATGTATGGTAATTGTTTTGCAATAACCATAGCAACGGAAGTGAGTAAGCAGGCATTTATACGGTACTATTGTTTGTATTCAGTCAGATACTCCATGCATATGTTTGATTGTACTGATAATTTGACATAAAAAAAACTCAATTTGAAAAAATCAATTCATAAAAATCAAATGCTTTCTACTTTTGTTATAAGGCATAAAAGTAAATGAATCAAACAAATTTGTTTGCTTTTATTTGTGATTCAACTCCATAAATTGGAATTTGTAATGTAATGCAGCACAATGTGCAAAAACCTCTGTAATTTTGATTTGTCTGTTTTGAAATTAAAGCGCGGTAGTCATAACACAGTGCGTGTTCCAATTTCATGTAAATAAACAATGTATTTTACACAAGTTGTATACGTCGCTATGAGTCCCATGTCAAACAGGACGCCCTTTAACTTCCAAAACAGGAAATCATGCAACTATACACTTCTTTTAAAATACAGTGTGTCTAGTGTCTTGCTACTGCAAAATGACAACAGTGTAAACACACAAGTACAATGTATCAACAGTATTAAAATTGCAATACATCAATTAAGCTGTTTTATATTTGATACATTGTAACATACCGGTAGTTGATTTGTATTATTTTTACACCTAAGAAAAGCTTACATTGTACACGTGGTAAAAATGAAAACATATTTGTATGTTGAATGACCCATCTTTTGACCAACAACAATTTTGCTCTAGATATAGATATTTAATAGCCATGCCTTACTTCCAAGACGAATGATCACTCCACTCACTGAATCAAATCATCACTCTATAAATCAATACCATTTTCAAGAGATTTTCAATAACACTCCCCCTCCCTGTATTACTCATGTTACTGTGTTCAGTAGAGCCATCTTTAGCTACTGGGCCATTTTCAAAAGCACAGCCTGATTAGCCACAGGTCCTTTGAAAAACATGGGAAATAATTGTTGAATGGTGATTTTTGTTTTTCAACAACCCTTACTGGGTAAAACACTGAAAAATTAATTTAATATGCAAATGAATCAATTATGCAAGGTCCAAAGTTTGAAATGGAGCTCACCAGTCAGTCATGTCTGTTTATGTTTTACAAAAACAAAATGTATACAATGTAATACGTATTTGTATGTCTGGGCATGCTTACTGCTGGAATTTTTGTAACATATGTAAAACTTAGAAATGGTTGATTGATGGGCGATCATGGCGATATATCGATTTGAGTTGATGTACCTTTGTACTGATCAACGTCAACCCCCCCCTCTACTGTTCAATGCACAGTGTCATGATCACGATTATAAAAACATATTTACACTTACTCACTTGGGTATAAAGTGTCCACAATTGTTTTCAACAGCTTTGTGTATCCAGCAGCTCAAAACTACTGGTGTAACGTACAGTTGCTATGTAGACATGAATTAAGGCAACTACGGTTGCTTTATGTCACCGTTAATGACTGAGATTGATCGATGATCTTAACTGATTGTTGCCGTACGTCTCTCGCAGCTATAGGGTGTACACCAACAGAATGCTATTGATCCTTGTACCTCAAAGTAATTATTTGCCAAATTTAATGTTTACTTCATGGTAAATAAATATACCTCTGTTTACTTAATGAGTGTGCAAGTTGCAACCGAAGGCATGTTTATGATGTAAAGTTTTGAAGTCAAGTCGGGAATTGAGGGGTGCGGTGTTCGGCGAGTTTGAAGATTGACGCAAGGTGCAAGAAATAATTAGTCAATGTGATCAATGTGTTTGACATCGAGAGATTTATGAAAACAAGCTAAGAATTGATTTATGAATCTGTAGATTCCTGGGTAATTTTGAGACCATCACAAAAACTGAATAAACACTGGATTCAGAGTATGTATAAATCTAGTTACAAGTTATGGTGCAGCCATACAGTGCAACGGTTCATAATTTCATTTTCAAGTACAGTTCTATGCAAATTATATGTTCAGGATTTATCAAAACCATCATAGAGGGTGCTGTCCAAATACATTTTAAACACAAGTACAGAATGTGAGAAATAATGTACATTTACCTATATAAAGTGCGCCCTCTTGTGACAGCTTCTAAGACTTGAATGAGCGACACAAAGGTTTTGATACATCAATGAAGATATTTTACCTCATGCTTGAAGAATGCAGAGATTCATCTCAAAATTAGCTCAGGCCATTTTGTTCAAAATTAATTTTGAGGGTAAAACAAACACTTGTGTCCTTTGTCAGAAATGATTGAATAAATGAATATTTTAAAGGAATTGGGGACAGTGGGAATCGAGTCCCAAGGGATAACGCGAAAAAAAACGCAAAGGCTCATGGTAGATGCTTTAAACCCTGTATGACCAAACATAAGAGGACATCCACGTCAGTCAAAATTTTACCCACACAAGTAAATTGTGTACTCAGATTTAAAATGTACACGTATTAGCTTAGTCCTGTCTTGCAATGCAATGCAATGCAGAGCGATTAAGGGACTGTGGAGGAATCATGCTCCTGCATGTAGTGCACAGCTTCCATTCTAACAAAGAATATTCAGAATAAAAACAAACGTTTTAGGTTTTACTCGATTTATTGCCAAGAGAGTTTTTCAGCTGCTGCTAGTAGTAGTTTTACTTGTTACAAACAATCCATCAAAACAATTATGTTTAAAGCATTCTTGAAAATGACATTATATTCTTAAAATATTAATGCTAGAACCGATGCACAAGTGGAAAGTGAAATACAATAGAACACCATAACAAAGTGCATCTTGTGGGCGATTGATATACCAGCCTCATTCTCATATCAAAATGGCGGCCATGACAGTAGCCTCATTCTCATATCAAAATGGCAGCCATGACACAGTAGCCTCATTCTCATATCAAAATGGCAGCCATGACACAGTAGCCTCATTCTCATATCAAAATGGCAGCCATCACACAGTAGCCTCATTCTCATATCAAAATGGCGGCCATGACAATTTTTGTTTTCTCTTTAGTCAAGTCTAGGTGAATGAATTATTAATTTATCTCTGCCAAACATGTCAATTGCTGGTTGAATTAAATGAGCTCTACACTGAGAAATTTACACCATACTAAGTGAGTTATAATACATATGCACTTATGTGCATTGCCAGTTTCAAAACAAACTCTAAAACTGTACAAATAAAATAAGTAAATGAAGACTAGACTGGCTGGCTAGAAGAGCAAGTACACACATTTCCTGGACAAACACTACTGATCATTGGATCACGCAGATTAATTATAGGTACTACAAGCTCAATGTGAATACATATAAAAATATTTGCACTAATGACCATTTAATTAAATACTATATATTAGTCATTGGAATCACAATCATCAAACTTGACTATAAATAAATCAGTAATGTAGCCAGGCTTCATTTTTGTACACACAATCACTTGAAAGCATATGCAGACTTTAAATGTGCAAATCAAAGCTGACATGGATAAAAAAAAAACTCATTTAAACCATCATCTTTACTTGGATACAGTGTGGATGGCATGTGCAAGGTATGCATTGTTCTTTGATGAGATACCAGCTACAGAGATTCTGCCATCTTTTGTTAGGTATACAGAGAATTCTTCAGTGATGCGTGCAACCTGCATAATGAAGATAAAGATGGCATATTATAAATATTAGAAACATGACAAGAAACACCCTCATTCAATTTTTACTCAACTGCCCACACTGTTGAGTGAGCGTTTTATACCACAGAAATATTCAGCAATCAATTACATTTCCAATGCTGAATGTATGTAGATTTACATACATCTTTAGTGTATGTGCTAGTTATTGTATGCTTTGTCATTTGCTCATGAATAATTCAATGCATTCTATGTGACTTGTGCATTACCAGAAATAATGTACAGCCATAAAAATGGGTCACATGACAAAAAGTGGTATAAATATCAGTACAGTAGAACTACCGGTATGTGTAGGAGGGAGGTGGTTTATTGTACAAAAGGATCAACATTTTTCCAATTTGATGGCGGGTCTGGGATTATAAATTTACACAAACTAGTAACCAATATGCGTGTAATAATATGACTGGCAATAACAAAATATTCCACAATGCTATCGCCGTTTTTAAAATTATGTACGTTTTATTTTGTGAAATTTCACAAAGTACATACTGTAAAATGACTAATTTTCATTGGGTTAAAATTTCGCTGATTTATCATTTCAGGCATATTCAGTGGGTTTTAAATTTACGGTTTTATAATTTAGATAATGTGTTCTATGCTAAATTTTACATATTCACTGGGTTTTAATTTAGTGTATTTTCTAGTCAGCGAAATAAGCAAAATTGAAACCCAGTGAATAATTAATCCTTTTACAGTAGACTACTGATAATGAAATCAGAAATTATTGTGAACACCACATGTTGCTTACCTGATCAGGTTTGAGTCCGGTGAAACAAAACATGCCAATCTGGTCTGTAATATGTTGCCAATTGTGAGAGGAACCTTCTTTTTTCAGATTTTCAACCAACTGTGAACGCATAGTGATGATTCTATCAGCCATGCCTTTGACCTCTGTCAACCTGACAACAAAGCATCAATCTATCAGACTGTATGGCTCAAGCAACAAAACTGTAAGGACGAGTAAGCCAAGTGATCTTCTGTGCTTACAGGATTGGATTTTAAAGACAGTCTGCAATATGTGCGACAATGACCATGTTGAAGATGAACAACATTTTGTCACAAATTGTCCTCATTACAATGAAATAAGATTAAAACTTTACATTGTAGCTAATAAACGTATACCAAATTTTGACAAATTTAGTAATGAAAATAAATTCATATCATTACTAAGTGACGAGAAAATGTCTATTCCTTTAGCGCAATATTTAAAAAACTGTTTTAATACAAGACAGCAGCACCTACATAAACTAAGCCAGTAATACATTCCTTGTATTCAAATTATTATCTTTTTTTTTTTTTTTTTATGCCTTTTTGTTCCCTTACTCTTTATGTGGTTATTTTTCTTTTACTAATATCTGATTTGTAACCCTTTTCATCCCCTCCGGGGGATGTTGTGTGTTAATAAATAAATAAATACAAATGAGATTGAATACATCAATGTCAGGGGTTTCACAAATGCATTTAACAGCAGGCTATCATCCTGTAACAGGTCAAAAATTAATAAAAAGGCTCTCAGCAGTGCAAAGCGCTGCAGCGAGACCAGCGTAGACAGTTGAGAGAGCAGAGAGTAGACAGCCAATTTGGGCTTATAGCAGGCTATAAAAGTACCAGTTGTCAATTGTCAAAAGTACCAGTATGTGATACCCCTGGTCATAGTTGATGGTACTGTGATCGTGCACAATATTTATGTTTTTTGCTTTAAACTACTTCAATAGTACATGTGATGCAGGTAGACCAATCAAGAATAGAAGAACAAAAGTTCTGACAAAAGTACAGCTTCAAATATTTGTTTTTGTGCAGCTAGAGGGCTTATCTTACCACTGGCTCCTTAGTTCAGCCGTATTTAGAATGGTAGAAGCAATTCTTGGTCCACTGAGTGGGGGATTTGAGTACATTGGTCGAATGATGATCTTGAGCTGAGATTCACAACGTTTAGCTTCTTCCTCAGACTCGCAGATGAGTGTAAAAGCACCCACACGTTCACCTAAGAGGTAATAAATACACACTGGTAAAAACTCCATAAATAGACTTGTACAGAATTGCAATGGGTAGACATAGATAAAGGCAAGTACAACTATACTTGTATAAAGATTCGTTATTTTTTTTTAAATCGAATGAATCTGACAAGTAGAAAACTCACCATACAATCCCATGTTTTTAGCATAAGATTGTGCTAAGGCAATGTTATGACCTTCGTTTACAAACATTCTCACAGCTGCGGCATCATTGTCAATATTACCACTTGCAAAACCTTGATAAGCCATGTCAAAGAAGGGGAACAGTTTGCGAGACTGGCAAAAAAGGTGAAGACAAATTACTGATGGTAACAAAGTTATTTCCTAAAGAGCTCAGGAATTGCATATTCTATCAAGCAATTCAGATATACATTTACTGCATGAACTAGTTAACAATAGAAGAATAGATTTCTGGACCAGAAGTTTAAATGTTTTTTGAACTGCGCCCCCCCCCCCCCCCCAGCTAATACTAAAGAATGAAGACTAATTTGCATATTTATTCTGATACAATAGAAATTAACATAGACTATTGTTTTCTTGAAAGTTCATACATGGCATTTCAGTGGTCAAGCAAGGTAAAACATCTGGGTAGAACACTGATGTGTAACACTTTACAATATCATCCCAAGAACAGACTGATTTTGGACCCAAGTTGGACTATTTAAACTTAATTCTCTGTACTTGTAGCTCTAAACTAAATCAGTGAATTTTAAACACATTACAAAATGAAAGTGAACGCATACGAGGCCGAGACACCTTCAAGTGATCAGCACTGCTTGAACTAGTAATTATGGTAAATTTAAAAATCATGTTTTGAATTTACATAGAACTCTCGCACATACCTTGATGATTTGGGACAGCTCTTTCCACTGGTCAGGCTGAAACATTATACAAACAATAGATCTTTATCAGTATAACTATTTACATAAACAGACTTAGTAAATTGGGTCAGTTTCTGGTCAAATTCACTCACATCGCAATTGCACTTTGTTTATTTTACTCTTTAATGATACCTGTATTTCTAAAGATGCATTGAACATTATTATAACAATATTTTACGTGATTACAGCCTTTTCATATATATATATATATATATATATATATATATATATATATATACACACATACATATATACATACACACCCAAACACACTGTCCTGTACTTGGCTTTATTGCTCCCAGCATTCTTTACTTCTTGTAATTTCTAAAGCAGTTGTTGCATTGTTTACAAAAACTATGAATGCGATGACTGTTACTTCAATTAACACTGTTAAAAATGTCATCCAGTTCCAGAATGTAGAAGAAATAAAATACCCCCCCCCCCTCCCCCCGAGAATTTGTTATTACAGGTGGTAATAATTTCATTGTTAGGGAACGGCAGCATATCATCATCCGCAACGTTCCATGTTACATCGGTTCTATTTTAGCCAGGTTTCATAATCGTGACAAGTTCCACGAGGCACTAGTATTATTGACATGCTCAGCAGCACTCATTCAATTGTCAGGTATTATGTTTTGTATTATAATTATTGCATCAAATACATAGAATACTTCATACAGAAATCAATTGTGTTAAACTTTAGACCATACTTACTTTAGGGTCAACACCAGTTGGGTTGTGTGCACAAGCATGCAGTAAAATAATTGAGTTTTCTGGAATTTTCTGAAAAGAAATACAACACAATTTATACACTATATTCCATCCACCAGATCAAGTCAGCCAATCAGTTACTGTAAAACCATTTATTTTCACTGATACTTAATATCATTAATTTGATGTTTTGAACATATTCACCGTGTTTTAATTTAAAATTTGTCAAGAAAACAACGAGTTTTAACAGGTTTTACTTATCAGCAAAATGAAAACCAAGTGAATAATTAATGCATTTACAGTAATTTGACTGGATTAAAATATTAAATGTGCATATTTGAATTAACTCTTGTCTGTACTTTGAATGGAATTCACCCAAGAACCATAAAGTCTGATAAATGATAATTAAAATAACTTTGCCATCGGTTGGCACATTTGAATCATAGCCAACAGACAAGCACCTTTATCTAACCGACCCCACTACAGTACACATCTACTTAACTCAACATAATACACAGATCAGAAACTCACAGAAATATCTTCATATGCTCCCTTGGCATCAAATCCACACGTGGAGGGATCATAGTAACGGTATTGTTTTACCTCGATTCCAGCATGTCTGTCAGGAATAAATACAAACATCACAGCTTCATAAGTATTACTATTACTTCAAATTTGTGTTACATCAACTTTCTCCATTAATTTTTATACATTTGTTTCAATACTTCATGCCATACACACAATTATTTATAAAATCACTAGCTGTTGGGCTGGGTCATGTTAGGTTTATGTCCCATGTGACAAATACAATGTACGTGAAATATGTTGTTTACATTTCACATTTGAACATATGGAGCACAAGGAAAAAAAACTTACCAACCAAATGTTAATATGTCTATATATAACCTACAATAAACCCTTGTCTTTTTTATCATTCAATGCTAGCAGTCATCTTGTACACGTACTGTGCATTTAACTTTCATTAAAGCATTCTGTTGCATGCACTACATATGTTATCAACAATCTGACTAATACTTTGCAAGAAGGCACCTCTTTATTCAACAAGGTATGTATGCTTAAAATTATAGTATGTAAACTTACTTGAAGATTGGGGTGTGGTTGCCCCATGAAGGTTTTGGTAACCAAACCTCCTTGACACCTGGGTAGAACTTGCTCAAGAAATTAGCTCCAATACGCAAGGACCCAGTACCAGATATTCCCTGAGCTGTGACGTTCTAGTGAAGAAAACACTTTAAATTATTATAAAGGCAGCAATCTGATAAGATGTAAATATTCCAGGGTAAACACCAAGAACACCCATATATTCCAGGGTAAATCTCAAGCACAATTGTATATACCATAGTACCTCTCTAGACCACACATGTATACCATAGTACGGTACCTCTCTAGACCCCACATGTATTCCAGGATACCTCGCCAGAACATCTATATAGTCCATGGTAATCCTCTAGGGCACCCATATATTTGATGGTAAACCTCCAGGGTACACCTCTAGGACACCCATATATTCCAGGGTATATTTCATTTATTTCAGGGTAAACCTACAGAACACCTATATATTCTAGGGTACATCACCTGAATGTACATATAGTCAAGAGTACACATCCAGAATACCAATACAATCTAGGGTAGACCTCCCAAGAACCCATATGCTCCATGATACACCTCCAGAATACCAATATATTCTGGGGTAGACCTCCCAAGAACCCATATACTCCATGATACACATCCAGAATACCAATACAATCTAGGGTAGACCTAAGAACCCATATACTCCATGATACACATCCAGAACACCAATACAATCTAGGGTAGACCTGAAAACCCATATACTCCATGATACACATCCAGAATACCAATACAATCTAGGGTAGACCTAAGAACCCATATACTCCATGATACACATCCAGAATACCAATACAATCTAGGGTAGACCTCCCAAGAACCCATATACTCCATGATACACATCCAGAATACCAATACAATCTAGGGTAGACCTCCCAAGAACCCATATACTCCATGATACACATCCAGAACACCCATATATTCTGGGGGTAGACCTCCCAAGAACCCATATACTCCATGATACACATCCAGAACACCAATATATTCTGGGGTAGACCTCCCAAGAACCCATATACTTCATGATACACATCCAGAACACTAATACAATCTAGGGTAGACCTCCTGAAAACCCATATACTCCATGATACACATCCAGAACACCCATATATTCTGTGGGTAGACCTCCCAAGAACCCATATACTCCATGATACACATCCAGAACACCAATACAATCTGGGGTAGACCTCCCAAGAACCCATATACTTCATGATACACATCCAGAACACCAATACAATCTAGGGTAGACCTCCTGAAAACCCATATACTCCATGATACACATCCAGAACACCCATATATTCTGGGGTAGACCTCCCAAGAACCCATATACTCCATGATACACATCCAGAACACCAATACAATCTAGGGTAGACCTCCTGAAAACCCATATACTCCATGATACACATCCAACACCCATATATTGGGGGTAGACCTCCCAAGAACCCATATACTCCATGATACACATCCAGAACACCAATATATTCTGGGGTAGACCTCCCAAGAACCCATATACTCCATGATACACATCCAGAACACCAATATATTCTGGGGTAGACCTCCCAAGAACCCATATACTCCATGATACACATCCAGAACACCAATATATTCTGGGGTAGACCTCCAAGAACCCATATACTCCATGATACACATCCAGAACACCCATATATTCAGGATGAATCAACAGGAATTGCTTACCCTTTTATTTTTGATAGCATCACAGTTGTCACCAAATGCCAGAATAGCGGAAGCCTTGGTAAATTCTGCCAGACCAGTTATACCTAGATATTCTTTGTCCAAGTTCTTAGATCGAATTATGTCTTCAGCCTGAATATAAACAAAATAATACCACCCAAATAAAAAAATTAAATTTTCTAAGAAATGAGACATGAAAATACACTATTTCTCAACACTTTGAGATCTATACAGTTGGACACTACAATACAAATAATAATCATTATTATAAACACAGGATGAGTGGTACTGTCATGTCTCTTGTGAACACTTGGCAAAATGTACGCACCATGAAATTGATTGAAATAGTTTTGCCTTTTGCATTTTGAATACTTGGCAAAACCTATGAATTGCCATTATCACAATAAGAAGTGAAATTCTAAACTTTTTTTCCTTACAAACATTTGGCAAAATGTATGGCTTGCCATTATCACGATAAGCACCTGGAGTGGTACCGTCTTTTCTCTTACCTTACGAACACTCGGCAAAACATATGGCTTGCCATTATCATCACGATAAGCACCAACACCCAAATTCATTTTGTTGGGACTTTTATCTTTCTTGAAGGCTTCAGATACACCAAGAATTGCGTCAGGTGGTCCCATTTCAACATTGCTCCATATAGAACTAAAATAAAAAGTTTGTATAACTGACTTTAATACCTTTGATAAATAAATAACTACATGGCTTTTCATAAATTAAAGGAATTTGACTGGAATTTCTGCTAAATTACATGAACCCTCTGTGAATAGTTATTTGAAAGCCCAGGGTTACCAAGTTTCAATTCAAAATGGCTGCTTTTTAAAAATTCAAGTTACAATTAACTTTCAACATATTACCACACTCTGTATATTGAATAAACTCTAGATGTACCGGTATTCCAAGAAATACTATAATAAATGTGAAAATGACATTTCTACGACAGTCATTAAGCATTGTATAGGTGAAAAGAAAACGCATGACCTATGTTCATGTAGTATGAAGAGGAAATCTATTTAATGTTATGTTCATAGTATGAACAACAAAGAAGGTTTCTATTTGACCATATACAAATAATTTCAGTAACTTGTAAGTTCATAGTAAATTTATTTTTCTGAGTCCTCGCAGTACACAGATCAATTTATTAAACATTGCCTTAGATTAAATTAAGACATAGTAGGAATATAATTATAGATATATTTGCAAAGTATTTTTTTGTATATTTAATTTTCACTGAATCTTTGTAATTTGTGTCAACTTTTTTTTTTATCTTTCACTGTTAATAATTTTTTTATTGTCTTCTTTTTACTGACCTTACTGCTGTATTTTATAAAGTCAGTGTTGTGTCAATAATTGAATGTCTATCTGCTTGACCTAGCAATTAATAGACCATGTTCTTTTAATGACAAGTCACCCACTGTGCTACTGTACATAGTTTAAAGTATTACTATATTAATAACCTCATAACCTTGCCATTTCTGATTTAACAGCAACATAACTTAATATTTATTAATATTTTCTGACTGTATTTTTAACAGTTTATACTAAAATGAAGATACATGTAAATGTTTCCACTCCACTTTGCTCGATTGCTACTAGATTGAATTTCTCTGACAAGTAAAAAATAGACATTGTGCTACAAACATTCTCACAAAATTTACGATTCACAGTCTATACACAACATGACTATAACAATCATATGGATACTTTTAGAAGTGCATCCCAATAGAAGTGCACATAAACCAAATATAATAGTTAGGCCAAAAAATAATTTGTGTTGCCCTCAAGTGGGGAAAATTAAAAAATTGGATCGGTCGGTCGGATTTTTTTTTTTAAACTTGAAAACTAAACGCAAATAGCCAAGGTATATGGGGGAAAAAAACTCAACCCTATATTTCATATTTTTCGGTCGGTCGCTGAGGGAAACAAAACAATTTTTTTGGGGGGTTTATTGTATGCTTAATTCATCTGAATAATCAGAGCCCACCAAGACTACCATGAATGGCATGTGAATGAACTAGGAAAGATGTTAAATACTTGCTCGACACTCAGTTTACTTTTCAAAAAACATGGTGGAAATTGCTTTGCGTCAAGAGTTTGTGTATGACTGAAAAAGTTTCAAAACAAATACAAGGATGAAGATTATGCATTTGACTGTTCTACCACAGACCCTACAAAATTTTACACTGTAAATTCAGATAGTATGTAAACAATAACGGTATGTAATAAAATGTGCGTGTTCATGTGAAAATGTTCTCCATTGTGAAAGTGGTGTGACAATGCAACTCATTTTGCAATTCAATGTTTCCAAAAATAAATCAAAGAAAGCTTAGAAAGAACTCCCATGTGCTGAGAGTATTGGAGACACATTAAATATAATTTGAAATTACTTGGCTGAAAACTAATTATGCAAATCAGAAAATTAACATGAACAGATTTGATTGTAAAACTAATGAGGTCTGCGCAATGTAACAAAAACTATGTACCAATTGAAATGTGATTAGAACCAAAAAATTATGAATTATTATGCTAATTAGGGAAATAATATGAACAGAGCTTTACCCCAAACTAATTAGGTTTGTACATTGTCCTGGAGCATCTTTGTACTAAGTTTCATTAAAATGGAAATTAGTACTTTAGATATCAGTGTGAAAGCATAAAATTGGTTAATTATGCAAATTAGGTAATTACTATGTACAGATTTTAATCCACAATTATCCACTCTGTCTATTGTCCTACAGCATCCATGTATAAACATTCACTGAAATGCGATGATTAGTACTTGAGATACCCGTGGAAAAGCTGAAAATTAACTAATTATGCAAATTAGGTGATTAATATGCACAAATATTTATCCGAAACAATCAATCTCTGCATAGTCCTTGAGTATGTAAGTACCAAGTTTCATTGAAATGTAATGCTCACTACTTACATCAAAAGCTGAAAATTAATTAATTATGCAAATTAGGTAATTATATGTACTGATATTACCATAAAAACTATCAGGTCTGTGCAGTGTCATATGATATCTATGTACCAAGTTTCATTGAAATGTGATGATTAGTACTTGAGATATCAGTGGAAAAAT